AGCTGGCTAGCTGGTTAGCTAGCTAGCTAGATAGCTAGATAGCTGGCTAGCTAGCTAGCTAGATAGCTGGCTAGCTAGCTAGCTAGCTAGCTAGGCGCTCTCGCCTCCAGCCGCGCCTGAAGCAAAAGGTGGAAATAAACAAAATTCAAATTTAGATTAAAATTCAAATTTAAAATTTTGTCTTAAATTCTTGAATTAAATTAAAAGAATTTAAAAAATAAATTAATGACAGCAGCTTCGAGCTGCGCAGGGCCTTCTAGCTTGCTGACTAGGCAGCAAGCTAGCTAGCTAATAAGCTAGCTAGCTGCCTAGCTAGGTACATATCTGTCTAGGTAGGTAGCTAGCTGGTTGGCCAGCTGTTTGCCTAGCTGGCTGCCTGGCTAGCTAGCTAGCTAGCTAGCTAGCCGTCTAGGTAGTCAGCCAACTGGCCAGAGCGCTAGCTAGCTGGCTGGCTAGCTGGCTGGGTAGCTGGCTGTGTATGTGCCCTCGGCGTGCGGGCCGTTCATTTATCTGTCCAGCGGCTGCCTAGTTGATTCGCTGAGCAGATCTGTGGCTAGCTGGATAGGGGCCACAGGTAGCTAGCTAGCTAGGGGCCATAGCTAGCTAGCTGGCTGGCTAGCTAGCTAGCTAGATAGCTTGCCTGTTTGCTTGCTATGGGCCTCGCTGAAGGTCTAAATGGCTAATATACCAGAGGGCCAATCGACCCTTCCAAGCTAGCTAGCTACACAACTGGATAGCTAGCTATCCAGCTAGCTAGCTAGCTGGCTGGCTAGCTGGCTAGCTAGCTGGTAGAGGACGAAGTTGGTTAGCTAGGCCTTACCCGGGCAGCTAGCTAGCTAGTCCGCGGTGCAGGCGCCTGTGTGTTTCTGTATTTGCAGCTTTATTTATTTCTTGAGATTAAATGATTTGCTGCTGATAATAAATAATAAAAAGAATTCTTTTTGTTTCTCTGCGCAGGACTTCCCCACCACCAGAGGATGTACACCCGAAACGAGGCGCGGTATCTGCAGCCGGCGCTGAGGTGTACGTACACCCCAGCAGTCGAGCACATCCTCAACTTGTTGGAGCCAGCAGCAGCAGCAGCAGGCTGGAGATACAGCGGGCTCGGCCGCCCCGAAGTTAGGCCTCCTGCTGCTTCCCCCCAGCAGCAGCAGCAGCAGCAGCAGCAGCAGCTGCCGCTGCACTTGGTGAAGGCCGCGAGGGAAGTCGAGCGCGAGGCCGGCCCTTTTGTGTCTTTGGCTCGTTTGCCTTTTTTGGAGAGGGGGCGGTGAGCTGAGGGGTTGATTTTGAGTAATTTTAATTCAATTTGAAAGAATTACAAACGATTTAAATCCATTTTAATCATTTAAGACGACTCGAATGATTAAAAACGCTCCAAAATGCTTCATTCCTCGATTTTTTTTTGCCCTGCTGCTGCTGCTGGCGCCACCTGCGAGCTGCTGCAGCTGCCCTCGCGCTGGGGTGTACAGACACCTCAGCTGCTGCTTCTGCCTTTTATTTTCCTTTTTGTTTCTTTTATTTTTTTCTTTTTCCAGAATTGATCGCCTTTGGCGAATAGTCCAAGAAGCAGACACCTGGAGGTATCCCCTTACGGGGGCCTCCTGGGGGCCCCGCGACAGGGGGGCCCCCGAGGCCCCCTGGGTGCCTGTGGGTTCGGGGGCCCCCCAGGGGGCCCCCGGGGGGCCCCCTGAGGGGGCCCCCGGGGGGCCCCCAATAGTTGACGAAAGAGCAGCAGTGGTACAGGAGCTGCCGCTTGCGGAGTGTCTGTACACCCGAAGCAACCACCGGCTGCAGTCTAGAAGGCACCCCATTTGGCAGCATTTGAGATATAAGAAGGATAAAGCCAAAATCCCATACCTCCACAGGTCAGCAGCAGCAGCAGCAGCAGCAGCAACAGCAGCACATGTAGCACCAGCCGCTGCAGCGGCGGCAGCACCCGCAGTAGCTCGAGCAGCCGCGGCAGCAACGCCAGATGTAGCGGCAGTAGCAGCGCCTGTATCTGCAGCAGAAACTGTATCTGCAGCAGCAGAGCCCTTGAGGGGAGCAGCGCAAAGTGACGCTTTGCTATCGATCGACATGTGTTGCTGGCAGCAGCAGCAGCAGCGGCAGCAGCAGTGCTGTTGTGTTTGTGCAGGAGGCGCCTAGTGAGAGAAAAGATGCAAGCAGACACAATTGGAGCCTTCAATGCGTAGCCCAATATCTAGCTGCTACTGCTGCTGCTTCTGTTGCCGCTGCAGTGCAGCAGCAGCAGCAGCAGCAACGCCACGAAATGTCCAGCAGCAGCAGCAGCAACGCCACTGCGACGTTCTCCGCTTTTTTCCCCTCAAGACCCTCATTTATAACTTATTGGTATATTTCCATATTTGTTTATATTATTTATTTACTCTATTTATAAGTACCACGCCGCTCAATTTGTTTATAATTACTCGAAAAGAAGAATTAAAGAGAGTTGCTGAGGCGAAGAAGTCCCTTAGCAGCAGTAGCAAATGAAGCAGCAACACCAGCTGCTGCAACAGCAACAGTTGCTGCACAGGAAATGCCGCTGCAATGAAACCGGGTGCAGCAGCAGCGTAAGTAGCTGCAGCAGCAGCAAGAGGCTCTCGCTGCAGCCACAAGGGCTGCAACAGCAGCAGCACTTACTGCAGCAGCAGCAGCACCTGCTGCAGCAGCAGCAGCATTTGTTACGGTGGGCAACAACATCCGCTGCTGCAACGTCGCTGCAGCAGCAGCAGCATCCGCTGCTGCAGTTTTATCCTTTGGCGGGGAACCACCCGCAGCAAATATACATTTAGGATAGTGAAATATACAAAAGAAAATTTAAAAAGAGATTTATAGAGACATTTATTTGTTTTCTTTTTTTGCTAATTTGTATTTACTTTCAAGTCCTGCTGCTAATGTTTGCCGAATTTGAATACTGAAAATATATTAAAATAAATTTTAAATAATCAAATGAAATAAATATATTTTATACGATTGTCCCTTCCCATATGCTTTTTATAGCCTCTATCAGCAATTTACCTATTTTGCTTTAAAACAAGTACAAAAACATATTTACACAAAACACAAACACATTTACTCTTCATATTAATGCAACGCTCTGCCCCTAAATTATATATATGAACAAATTCACATGTATACTCAATACATTCCACATATGCATATATATATACATATATATATACTTATAAATATATATATGTAAATATATAAAAGGCAATTATTGAATAGAAGAACATTGTGAAAAAGCCCTTTCTGAATTTATATCTCTTTGCTCATTCCCACTGCGCTCGGGTGTCGGTACACCCCAAGAGGATGCCGCGCACAGAAATCGAATTCGCATTCTAGGGCCGGAGAAAATAGAACCAAAACAAATAAATAAACAGAATAAATAAAATAACAAAAAATGGTTTTAATTCAATGAATAATTATCGAAAGGGCCGTCAGATAGGAGCGAAAGAACAACAGCAGGAGATACACCCTGGGGTGTACCCTCAGCTGAACTATGTGCTCATCCTGTTCCCCTTTTCAAAAACGGAAAATAACGAATTAAACATTATTATTAAATTAAATTAAACAAATAAATACAATAAGTGACTTTTTAAAAGAATAAATGGAAGAATGGCAGCAGTCGAAATATAATTTTAAAGGCTTCTTTGTACAGCTGCCAAAACCAAATGCCTATATACACATATATATGTATATAGGCATATATATATATATATGTATGCACAAATCCTAAACCCTAAACCCTAAACCCTAAATATATATATATAACTATATGCAGTGAAGAAAAATAAAGAGATGTATTCCAAAGGTGTGACGATAACAAAAGACCGATACTTGCGGATTCCTATACAGGGGGTGTACAGACACCGGCCTTTACGCGAAAAAAGGGCATATTAGACAAACAAAAAAGAGACAAAAAAGAATTAAAAGACATTTATATAAAATAACAGAAGAAATAAAGGAGTAAAAAGGCATTTAGATAAACGAAAAGGAAAAAAAGAATAAAAAGGCACTTAGAAGAACAAACGAAAAAAAAAATAAAATGGCATTTAGACAAAAGAAAACGAAAGATGGAAAGAATAAAAAGGCATTTAGACAAAAGAAAACAAAAAGATTAGAAGAGAACAAAAAAAGCATTTAGATGAAAGGAAACACAAGGTAAACAAAAGAAATAGAAAACATTTAGACAAAAGGAGACAAAACCTGTGCGAAATACGAGAACAGAAAAGTTTGCAAACAACAAATAAAAAAGAATCTGATATATACAAAAACAAAAAAGCATCCAAAACAAAAAGAAAAATGCGACAAGGACAAAAAGGCATTTAAAGGATAAACAAATGAAAATGCGGAAATACAAAAACAAAAAGACATCTTAAAAATAATAAAATGTATCCGCGCTTTGGCTTCAGATAGGAGCGAAAGATATTATTCAGCAAATGCTTTTAAGCTGAACTATGAATTCATCAGCGTAGCCAGCGCTCAGGTGTACGTACACCCCAAATACTCCAGCAAATACTGCAGCAAATGCTGCAGCAAATAGTGCAGCAAATGCTGCAGCAAATGCTGCGAAACAGCAGCAGCAACTGCAAAAGGAAATAAATAAATTTAAATTCATTCAAAACTCAAGAGGTAAAATGATACAGAAAATGAAACGCATGCAGCATACTGCGCGCTGTCTGTACACCCCAAACCCCGCACATTCAGGTGTACATACACCTCAAAGCAACTTGCGGGAAAGGCACATATAAGTCCTTGGAGTGTATAGGCAGCTTCAGGTGGCAGAAATGAAAAAGGAGAGATTAAGAAAAGAAGATGTTTCTAAAAAGGAATATAAATAAAAAGAAATAAGAGATAAAACGACAGGAAGGAATAAGTGAGCGGGTCTCTCGAAAGCAGCCACAGCAGTTGTTCGTCCTTCTGTTGTAAACGAGGTGTACGTACACCCAAAGCTGCAGCAGCAGCCGGCAGCAACTCACGCTGCTGCAGCAGCTGCTGCAACAGCGGGTGCTGCCCCTGCTGCAACAGCAGCAGCAGCTGCTAGGTGTCTTTCGTTCGGCATGTGGCTGCTGAGGGACTCTGGCTCTGCAGAGGCCCGCGTTTGCTGCTGCTGCTGCTGCTTGAAGTGCAGCAGCAGCCGCAGCTGCTGCTGCTGCTCACCTGTTGGCCTTGGCCACCCTTTCAATCTCGTCTTTCTTCTTAATTGCATAAGAGTTGCTGCTTTCTTTTGCACAATTCATAATTTCATCTGCCAGACACTCCGACATGCTCTTCAGGTTTCGGAAGGCCGCAGTGCTGTACGTACACCCCAGCAGCAGCAGCAGCAGCAAAGTCAAAGAGCAGCTCAAGCGTCAAAATTAAAAGCTAAAAAGGCAATCAAATGAAATAAACAAGAGAGGAATATAAGATCAAAAAGAACTCCAAAAATAAGAAAAAAGATAAAAAACAAAACATGAAAAAATTTTAAAACGAAAGTAAGAAGATATTTGAAAGCACCAAAAATTCCCCGAAACGCAAAAAAAGGTTCAAAAGGGGGAAAAAATAAAGGACTTCTAGAGGGATTTAAAATGAAAATAAAGAGACAAAAGACTTTTAAAAAGACCCAAAATGAAAACATATAAAAGAAAAACAGAAAAGAAATAAAAGAACCAAAAGACTGCAAGAGCGTCTTGAGGAGCCAAGAAATGCAAAAAAGTCAAAAAGTGTCGCCAAAAGGCATAAAAAGACATCCAGAAAGTCCCAAGAAGGCGGAAAGGGAGGAAAAGAAACTTCGGAAGAAGCTCGAGAAGACTAGGGGAGAAAAAAGGATCTAAAAAGCTTCCCAAGACCGAAAAAACGAAAAGAAAACTCACCGGGCTCCCGTGCAAATCAAATATATGGCCTGGTTCACTCGCCGCAATGGCGACACGTCCACCGCCTGACGACGAACTACCCCAGCACTTCCTATTCTCGTCGAGTCTTCCCGAGGGCCCCCCCTCTCCACAGCCTGCACCAACACCTGCAGCAGCAGCAGCAGCAGCAGCAGCAGCAGCAGCAGAGGGGGGGATGGGCGGCAGCAGCAGCGGCGGGGAGGCGGAGCGACAGGGCAGCCCGCAGCAGCGGGAGCAGACACAGAAGAACCAGCAGCAGCGGCAAGAGTAGAAGAAAAGGCAACAGCAGCAGCAGCAGCAGCAGCACAGCAGCAGTAATGATGGCAGCAGCAGCAGCAGCAGAAGGGATAAAAAGGAGACCAAAATCGCGAAAACACCCGCCCAAAAGGCCTCAAAAGGAGCAGAAATGGCGAAAAAAGTCAAAAAAAGCCGGAAAAACGGCGTTTTTGAGGGGAAAAAAGCGGAAAAGAGCAGCGGGATAAGTGGAGAACAAAAGGCGGAGAGGGGAGAGAAAAAAGGGGAAAAAGAGGCGCAAAAAGAGACCTGGAGAGGATTTTTGTCGGCCATTAAGGCGATAATGTCGAAGGCGTGCTGCACTATGCGAATGGCCTGCAGCTTCTTGCCGGAGTTGCGGCCGTGCATCATGAGGGAGTTGACCAGGCGCTCGACCAGGGGGCACTGCGCCTTCCGGAAGCGCTTTTTCTGGTACCTGAGAGCCCCGAAAGGCAAATTTTAACGCGAATTGATGTTCCGTCTCAATCCGGATTGCCAAATGGAACTTCGGGAACAAATTTGCAAGAAAAAGCTCCAAAAATGACCCAAATTCGACCAAAAATGACCAAAATTCGACAAAAAGTGACAAAGTTGAGTTCCTTGATAGCTACGGGGGGATATTCGAAAAGAAATAAAATTCAATTCAGATAAAATCAATTTAAAATTAACTTTAATTAAATAAAAAGAAATAAATTAAAAGAATTAAAAAGGAATTAAAAAAGAATTATAAAGAATTATGCTGAGCCCCAAAAAGGCACCAGCAGCCAAGAGAACCGGCTTTACCCCCCTACAGCAGCAGCAGCA